GCTGCAAGCTGTCGGGCAGGCAGGAGAGGGGGCCTGGCCCTAGCTCAGCCGGCTGCCCTGGGCGCCCCGCACCACGCACCACGGGGTCCTGCAGGCCAGTGCTTCGTTTTAGATTGGCGGATGGGGATTGGGCCATAAATCAAACGGATCCCGGGGGCCCTGGCCCTTCCCTGCCAGCCCCCAGCTCTCCGCTCCCCAGCTTCAGGTGCTTGGGGAGACCTCACTTCCCTCCTCTTTGTCCTACCCTCCTCTGCTTCTCCCAGCTGCTGCATCCCTAGAGAACCCTAAACTCCTGGGCATCCAGGGTCCCCCCAGGTTGTGCACCCCCTCGCCCCGTGCCTGTTGATGGGTCAGAGAGCTGACCCGGTGTGAACACCCCGGTCCCAGGTCCCACCGAGTCTGGCAGTCCCTGGCAGCAGCAGGTCCCTTGTGGCCCCTGTTCCAGCCAGCCTGCTAGCAATGGCGCTGCTGGCAGCGCCTGGACCTTGTCTGGCCTCTGCTCTCGGGCTGGGGCTTGGATCCAGGACCCAGTGACAGAGAAGCTGGGCGCGCAGGCCGGGCCGCTGCCTGATCTGAGCAGGAGCGGTGGGGCTGGCGGGAGCGCTTTGGGCAGGTGGAGAGGAGCCGAGGGCCTGGCCTCCTGCAGCCCCAGCCAACTTCTCTGTGCTGCTTGGAGGCACAGGTCGTTAGTATACTCTCGTTAGCATGGATTTATCACTGTCTGTTATAAAATAAAACGTGCTAGGTGGCTTATTTTGTTTGAAATCTCTTCTGGGTTTCAGGCCTCTCTCGCTAACATGGTTTGCTCCCTATCTGGGGAATCTCAGCGCCATGAAGGAGCCTCCTCCCTCCTCTCCCTTCCTCATCCGGGTCCTGCATCTCCAGTGTCCACAGCTTCGGAGGCTGTAAGCTCACCTGAGCTTGTGTTTAGCTGGGAAGGAGCCCAGGAACGGGCATTTTTCTAAGTTTCTAGGAGCTCCTTGGTCTGCCCCACCCTTTGGCAAGGAAACCTAGTGGGTGGGGCGGCCATCAGGGGCCTGGCTGAGCCTTGGCAGGTTGCCTAACCTCTCTGAACTGGACGGGTCTCCCTAGCTCCCTGCCCCCAGCATTTTCTGCGGCTGTTCAGAGGGGTTCAAAGGCCTCAAGAAGGAAGGAGGGACCTCCATGTGACCAGGGCAATTCTGGGGGCAGGCTCCTAGGAATACAGTCTTCACCTGCACCCTGAACTACCACTCTGGTGCTCAGTCCCTGGCTCTGGTTTCTGTGTTCAGGACACCACACCCTTTTCCCCAGCTTCCTACTTCCTCTTGAGACCTTTCTCTTCAAATTCCAAGCCCTGCTTGCCCAGTCCCTTAAGATTGCTTTCTTTGAAGTACTTTACCTCTCATGGACCCAGAGCCTGGCAGGTCCAAGACCAGCCACTGGCAGAGGTGGGACAGGGCAGGTGGGCAGCCCCAGAGGCACTGGCCCTGTGTGTGGCTCATCTCTGTCCCCTTGGGGTCCATATCCTGCCCCACCTGGGGCTCTGGGCCTCCTTCTCCCAGCCCCACCTCCCTCTCTACCTGGGGCTGGAGAAAGGGTTGTCTTTGCCTGTTTTGCCCATCTGGCTCAGCAGGCAGAGGCGCAGGTCATGAAGGCAGCACTGAGTATCTTTTGAGAATGGTCCTGAGGTCTCTGCTCAGATAGGAACTGCTTCTGGGGCAGCATAATGGGGCTGGAAGGTTGAGGATGCCACTCCAAAACCAGCTGGGGAGTTAGAATCCTGGCTCTGGAATCCAGGGCTGGGACTTGGTACATCAGCAAATCCTTACATAAAATGTTCTCATTTCAGCCATCATGGATTTTAAAATATTGATTTTCAAATATTGCATTAAAATATTGTCTTGGTCAGTCAGGTGTGGTGGTGCACACTTGTAATCCCAGCACTGGCAAGGCCGAGGCAGGAGGATCCACATGAGTTCAAGGCCAGCCTAGGCTACATAGTGAAAGACCATGTTGCAATAGGCCCCTGCCAAAAAACAAACAACATAAAATGTTGTCTTGGCTACGGAGGCTTTTTTTTGGTGCCCCCTTAAATTTTGTACCTTAGATAAATTTTGAATCCCAGCCTTTCCCTGTGATCCTAAAGTTAGGGCTTTTTTTTAAGCAAATTGCTTTGTGAGCTTTTGGTTTTTTTGAGCTATATGATGAGGATGATGTTACTCAATTCCTGTGGTTGTAAGGAGTCTTTGCACTTAGCTGAAGAACAGTCCTGAAGAGTAGCAATCATGCAATTCTTAATACAAGCGCCACTATTGCCACCACTTTTCTTCTCTGCGAGTGAAAGGCCCTAGGACTGTCACCCCGCACCCTCCCAGCCTGGTGCCGTTCTTTTCCCAGGGTGCCTTTTTCTTTGTTTGTTTGATTGATTTCGGCAGTGTAGAGACTGAACCCAGGACCTTCTTGTGGAGCTGCATCCCCAGCCCTTCTTTTCACTTTTTGTTTTGAGACAGGGCCTCGCTAAGTTCTCCAGGCTGGGCTCAAGCTTAAGTCCTCCTGTCTCAGCCTCCCAGAGTGTGGGGAGTATAAGCATGCTCCAGCTTTCAGCATGGAGGATCTGGGTACATTGGGCCAGGCCTGGGCGCCAGCACCTTCTGCTTTACAAACCGATGGTTGCAGGAGGGTCTGGGCATAGCGCAGCCCTTGGGCGGGCCGGGCTGTTGGAGGAGGTGGAAGCGCGCTGGTGCTCCTTTCTCCTCGCTCCTGCCTCTCTTCTTTCCTTCTTTCTTATGACGCGCATATTGGACCCTGTGCCTCTGGAGCTGGAGGATGTGTGCTAAATGCTGCACGATCCCCTAGCGCTGGGGTGGGGTGTGGCTGCCTAGGTGCCTGAGCCCCAGTATAG